CTAATGTTGGAGTAATTTAACTTTTACAGTGGTGCTCTCGATTTTTCGATTGCTCTCGATTTTTCGATTTTAAAAAAATCATGAGCATTATTGTTTTAATATTGTTTTTAAACCCTAAAATAAATTTCAATCAACTCTCTCTTTTTTTTTTTAAACTTTCAAACGTTTTTTTTAAACTCGCAAAAATTATTTTTAAACTTGAGCAACTATTAAATGATGACGAGCAAAACGGAAAAGCTCAGCGCTTTGATATTTTTTGCAATATCAAATCGATGATTGGTTTAACACACAGTTGACTTGACTTTCAACCAGATAAATATATGATCAAAGTAGAGACTAGCTGTATTATAGAAGTTTGTATGAACATATTAAATATTCAAAATTGAAATATTAAACTAACTGGCAGTTTTATGGGCAAATTTTTATAAATTGATTGTAAAAACACAATCTGTTTGCTGCGTAAACTCGTCGTTTGATGCGGCTCTTTGAATGCATAAAACATAAACTGTTTGATTCGTAAATACACCAATTGATCCCTGATTGTGAAAATTTTACTTACTTATAGTGCAATTAAATGTGAAAAAAGACTTATACATAGGAATAGGCCTAAGTAAATGAAAACTCATTGATCAACATAGATGCATGATAAGTATACATACATTGACTGACGGGTTTTTTCACGGTCATGGAGCAGGTTGTTTGGCACAAAGTTATTATTTTGTTTCAACCCGCTAAAGAAAAGAACTACTATTAACTTTAGAAAAATTGAAAGTAAATAACAACTTTTATTAAGAAAAAATTACACTGTAATAATATGAATTTATAACTTACTAATAGTAAACTCTTTAATAATAAACTCTGATCGTTAAATCATTTTGGTTTTACATATGAATGCGCTAAGCACGTTACCCTGTGGTAAGCCACTAGTAACTTCGGTCCAATATGAAATGATTTCTCGAAGCACAATACGTTGTTGCCTCTTTGCAAGAAAGTTTAGTAATTTATTATCTACTTTAGTAATTTTCCATTTACGCCGTATGCTTGTATTTTTTGAGCAAGTCTTAAATGAGTTACTTTGTCAAATGCGCTGACAAAAGTTAGAAAAATTACATCTTGTTTCATATTGTTTACATTAAATTGGTAACGTACCGTTCATTGCGAACAAATCCGTGTTGTACTTTAGCAATTAGTTTCTTCAAGAAAAGATAATTCACTATGCCGTATTTGACAATTGACTAAAACCTTACATGAAATTGAAATCAAGGACACTAACAATACACAATAATTTGGTTAATCGAGCAATAGAGCTATTCAGAATACCTTTCTAAAAATGAGACATCAAATGATAATAATCCACTTAATCACTTAATTAGCTTCATTGGAAAAATTTTTATTTTGGAGATTATATTAGTAACTACCTTCATTGGCAAAATTTTTATTTTGGAGATAATCGAGATTTTTTAATAATACAGAATTTTGAACTATATAAACTAAACTATTTTTCTTGTGATGAAAAATATTAAAAGCTTTCGATAACGAAATTTTAGAATTTACTACCTAACTTAATAATTATGAGACATTAAATTGTCCACGTGATTTTTCACTTCTCAAACTAAAGTGCATGATGAAATTTGACCAATTTTTTTTTTTGATAAAGTGTGTTAAAAGTGTTTACTTTTTTTCACATATTAAAGTATAATTTAATATTCTATATTATGCGCTCTTTTAATGTTTTAAGTCATAAATAGTAAAAAATTATCAATTTTTCTGGTTGAATCAGTACTGAAGGTAAAAACGCATTTTAAATACATATCTCTAGTATTTTTTAATACACGTCTCTAAAGTTTTCTTTATTTGGCTTTCTTTAATACAGTACAGCACAACTGGTTCTCTGACAAAAAATAAACCCTAAATTTTTTAAATTTAAGTTCTGTTTTTTAACTGCACCTTATAAGTTTGTGACCGTTTGTCAACCAACTTTTACAAGAAACTGTTGTCCATAAATTACGCAAAGTTTTATTTTAAAATACTTTAGTGCAAATAATAACTGCTTGTGAATTTTGTTCTTTAGTTTTGATTACATCATGAGTTCAGACTCCATACATTGACATCTTCTTGTTGATCTATAAGAAACATGACTTTTTATTAGAAATAAATCGAAAAATAAAAAAAAGGCGTATTTTGAGCAGCAAATATTGGCGCAATATTGGTTTTATACTTTATAACTGGTGTACCGGTTGGATCGTCTTCATTAGGTATAACATCAGCTTAAAAGACGGTAGATTAACTTATAAGTTAACCTATCGTCTCATAACATTACATCTTTCATCCTTAAACATCTAACTTTTTCAAAAGTTTTTGGTTTAGTTTTTTACCAGCAAGTTATGTTTTATTTCTACCTAAATGGGATGTTCGATTGCGTAATTTTCAAAAACGGTCAATCTCAGTTTCAACTGATAAAGCTGATGACCTTCCATGTTGACCCGTTTTTGTATATATATTAACGTCGCAAAAGACCTTTAGATTTCATTATTAAAAACCGTTGTATTAAATCATGTGTTAAACTTATCAGATTAACGTATAGTTTCAATAATAATGTAACAGAAACAAATATTCAACCACTGCTATAAGTGGTTATGTGAAACAAAAAGGTTGTAAAAAGAATACTAAATAGTTCAAAAACTATTTTAGAATGTATCAACAGGTTTTAAATGAAACAAATGTCCTAAACATCGGGAAAATTTTGAAAAATTCAAAATTGCAAATCATAAATAGAATATACTGTGTACTGGAATCGATGGAAATAATTAAGCAGGCAAATGTAGAAACAGTTTAAACATTTGGTTGAAGAAAATTTGGTAGACATTGGAATTATCGTAAAAAATGACGTTATTGCATTTAGCGACGTAATAGTGGTAACGAAAAAGTATCGCAATATTTTAAATCAATTTTGCCATAATCGCGTGCTGCGTTTAAGCATGATAAATTTTTTTTATATACCAAAAAGTCATGTTTCTAAAAATAGAAATTAAATATTCCTAATAATTAAACCAAAGATTGGGTTAATATTGTAGAAGTAAAAGAAGATTCCATAGAAGATCAGTATTCTAATTACAGATTAGAGATTACTAAAGAAAATGAATATGTTATGCCATTTGATACTTGTTTTGATCAAATTTAAGAAATTTAATGACAGTGTTTAAAAAGTTGGTTACATAGCACTTTATTTAGCAACAAAACTAAAAAAAAGAGAAAACAACTTGAGTTAAAATTAGACATGAAAATTCAATGAAATTCCTTGGGTGTAATGATTCAACGAATCTTAATTATACCAAAATGTATTATTTAATTCTTGTTTAAATTAAACTTTGATTTTATTTTAAAAAATTATATTTTTACGCTACAAATGTTGAAATTTTTACACAAGTTGAAACTACTGTTACTAAGTCCTACTTTTATTTTTATTTTACTTTTATTTTGAAATTCAAAATAAAATTAAAAAAAAAAGTCAAAAAAATAATTCTTTAAAATGAATTTTGAAACTTATTGAATTTTTTAGTATTTTTCAATTTTGTTGTTAGTTTTTTTTTACTTTCGATAAATTGAAAGTATTTCATATTTTTTTATTCGATACTGAAATATTTTTTTTTTTAACTCTATATTGTTGAAAAGCTCAAACAGTTAGGATGGAATGCAAGAAGCAAACTTGAGTCAAGTTCGACTTGAACTTTACTTTGTAACCAATAGCGGCAGAGTATTTTTTGAGGGGAAAACCCATACTCTGTCGCTATTGGTTGCAAGTTCAAGTCGAGTTTGACTCAAGTTCGCTTCTTGCATTCCACCTTTACAAGCTGCGTCTACTGCTTACTGCTAACTGCTGCGTCTAGCCTTAAATCTGGAGAAGCAATCAAGATAACGTTGTTGCGCGAAAAAAACATATACACGCGTTTTTCACCTGGGTTTTAAAGTTTTTGATTTGTTTTATCCAAATGAGATTTGATCAACCTGATCCGGATTATACAATATCAAGAGATAATTCTTAAGTCCATAAGAAAGGAAAGCTGCGAAAATCAGTTTGACATTTTCACTATTACAGTTTACATTAAGGTGGTCGTCCACCTAACCAATCTTTAACTAATACACAAATTTATCCCCTCCATAGCATTTCAACATCACTTGGTTTCGACACAAAAAAGTTTACTATTTAAAATTTAATCACGTTTAAAATATATTTGGATAACTCTCGGCTGTGAATCTAAAATTGAATTTGATAATCAGAAGGAGGTTCAGATAGTTTGAATTTATTTATAAATAGACTTTTGACATTTACAAAAATTTTATATATTTTTTAATATTTATATTTATATTAGACTTGAAGAAATATAAGAATTTAAATAATCTAAATATTTTTTGTCAAAACTATTGGACATATCCGCTAATTTAGAATAGGAAATAAAAGTTCGCAAACGTCAGAAATTCTTATAAAATTCAAATGCATTTGACCTAAAATTCTCTGAATATAAATATAAAATGGTTTTGTTAAATTAATTTAAACAAAATTTTTCCTCGATAAATAAACTAAAATGACAAAACAGCCTAAAAATCGTTGATTTAATAAAAAAAAACCTGTATACATTAGTCATATGTATAACTCAACTAAAAAAAAAAAAAGAAAACCGAATCTATTTTTTCTTTTTTTAATGTTTAGAAGTTTCGTTCAACCTCTAACTCTTTTTCACTTTAACGGGTATAGAAATTACATAACCCAAGTTTTTAAAATACTTGTTTTATTCTGAAAGCTCTAAAATCGTACTATTAATTGCTCCCTGTTCTACACAATAAGGCGCCGTAACATTCTCACATTGTTTTATGTAAATAAAAAAATAACTCCCTCATATTATTTTTTTGAATAAGTGGGAGTTTTCATTTATAAAGTAATTTTCTGTTTTATATATTATATAAAAACACCAGTCCCGTTATTGAATCCATTAAGTCTAACGTAGAAAAAGAGTTATTTACTTAGTCTTTTGAAAACATTTTTCAAATTACAAAATAACTTCGCGAAATTTATACATCAAAAGGTTTCGTAATTTACAGTTAGTTTTTATACATATAAAATTTTCGTAAAAAATAAAAAAATAACTTTTTTAATATTCCAAAGCATAATAAAATTAAGCAAGTTAGAAACTAAACGACTTTGAAGAAATTGTAGATTTTGTTTGAAACGACAGACAATAGACAGACGGGTAGATGGAGACAGTCGGATTCCAAGAGGCAAACATGTTCCAAAAAACAGACGCCTCCATAAAAACAGACTGTCTTGAAAATAGTTAAAAGATATTGAAGAGTTCATACAAGTTAGAAAGATTACCTTTCTAATTAAAGCTGTAAAATGCAAACTGCTACCCTTGCTTTTTCACTAAACATTTTATAAATAAATGATAGAATTTTAAATTTCATATTTTACAAAATGATAAATTATAAAATAAATAATTAAAAAATAAATAAAAAACGAATTTAGCGGAACTAATACAAAGAAGAAAAATACTCAAGAGGCATTAAACATCGGTTGTATCAAACGCACGCTGAGAACGAACTATTTCTGTGTCTAGCACGAGTCTTATTCCAAACCACTTGCTTTGAAGCTAAACAGAGAAACCATGTTATTAATAATTGAATCAGATATCTGAAATTACTATTTAGTAGTTTAGCAAGAAAAACTACACTTTTAAAAACATAATTTTTTGATTCTGCATACTCGATAAAACATTTTTTTGAAAATCCTCTCTGCACAAAAAAAAACCTACTTTTTGAAAAACATCAACTCTTGAATCTGCATATTCGATGAAAACTTCTTTTAGTTCTTGTTCTTTTCGCAAATCAAACTCAGACAACTCTGTTGAAAGATTTCGACAAATGCGTTCGAGCTCTTCATGAGCTGTGTGACAATTGGATGAAGCCTAGAAAGTAATAAACGTTTAACAAAACAAACTCAATTTTTATTATGGTACATTTAAAATAAATTTCTGGGGTAGAATTCCGCATTTTCAAAGAATAAAAATGGAAAAATCATTATTTTTTCATTTTTAAGTTTTGTACCTAGTATAACTTCTAACATAAGTTAATTTCCTTTTATCTGAATATGTTTACTTAACGTATCAACATGAGTTAGCTTCTTTCTATCCTTCTATCTGAGTTTACTTAATGTATTAACATGAGTTAGCTTCTTTCTATCCTTCTATCTGAGTTTACTTAACGTATCAACATGAGTTAGCTTCTTTCTATCCTTCTATCTGAGTTTACTTAACGTATTAACATGAGTTAGCTTCTTTCTATCCGAAGTACTTTACTTGATATTTCAAAATGTCATCGTTTATGGATAAAGAGTTACAAATTATAAATTTTTAAGTCTGCTATAAATACATGTTACATAGGATCCAGAAAATATGTTACTAATAAAATCCCAACAGCGTGTTATTTCCTTTTTGTATAGATCGATGCATTTTTGTCAGGTTTTCCAATATAAGTAATCTAAAATTTTTTAACTATCAAAACTCTACTTAAAAAATAGTCTTGTATATAGCCAAGGAGTGTGCTCATATTTAAACTTTTGTTTTTGGAATATTTTTTTTTGTTGTTGTTGTTAAACTCTTTCTTAACTCCAAAACATGAACATTCACAAACAAGGCTGTTGTTTATGGCTTGAAAAGTGGACGATATACTACTTGTAAAAATTTAAATCATTTATACATAGAAGTAATATTAAAGAATTATATTCTGACATTAATTCAAAATTATGATATGACCTCAATATTTTTGCCTGATTTGGTTACAATTCACTACTCCAATAAGTCACTAAATGATATTAACAAAATGAAGCCAAATATTTGCCAAAGGAATCAAATCCTCCAAATTGCTGTTGGTTAATAAGAATCTTATTGAAAAGCAAGAATTTAGCAACATTTATAGAAAATAGTAAAAAAAGGATAGAGCTCAAAAAATAGTTCTTTAAAGCAAGATTAAGGATACAAATCAAATACCCGCAAGACAATTCAATGAATTTTTTGAATTAAAATGTTTAATTAATTTTCTAGTTATTGTGCATTTTAGTGCATTTTATATTTTATACATTTTATATAACTGCATTATATAAACATTGAAACAAAATCATAAACTGGTGATTTAAAAACAAAATGGACTGGCTACTACTTAATGGCCAAATAATCACATTCATTGTTATGCAAAAATTTCTACAAGCATTAGACACCGGCCTTGCCAACAATACAACGCCCAATATTTGCTTTTACCTGTAAAATATTGCTCCAAAATCATAATATGGGTTGCCATTACTTCCAATAAAAGTGGTGGCTTATGGTATATGCATTTTAGCACTACAATAAATAAACATGTTTACTTTGGAATACTTCAAGAAAAACTTAAAATATTCACAAACACCACAAATACCCACTAATTTCAGAATGACAAAATTGAGCACCCATCACCGGGCAAGCTTGTAAGCAATTAGTTATCATAAAATGAGATTGAGATCTTTTGCCTTAGACCTTGTAATTCACCTGACCACATTCTTATAAAATTGTTGTAATCTAGGGTGCCGGACAATATTTTAAGATGGATTTCCCTAATATTTCCCTGATCCACTACCTGTTTCCCCTGATTTTTAAAGTTACCCAAACTCAAATTTAAGTATAGATTCAAATTATGTTTTCTGAATATTTAAGAAACCTTATTTACTTTGATTTAATATCTTATTCTTAACTATTTAATTGTTTGAAAGCTCAAGGATACCAAGTATTAAATTGATTAGCAAACAATTTCTAATATTTTGTAGAATTATCCTGAATACTAACATATTTTGATATAATAAATAATTTAACAAATGTTTTTTAAACAATCTTCCAAATTTTTGATTGTGACTGTTTGTGTATATATATAAATATATATATATATATATAAATATATATATATATATATATATATATATATAAATATATATATATATATATATATATATATATATATATATATATATATATAAATATATATATATAAATATATATATATATATATATATATATATATATATAAATATAAATAAATATATATATATATATATATAAATATATATATATATATATATATATATATATATATATATATATATATATATATATATATATATATATATATATATATATATATATATATATACACTATAGCATATTTATATGCTATAGCATATTTATATGCTATAGTATTATATGCACTTGCTCACGTTTTTTGCTCATCTAAATCGATATAGGTTTTATAGAAAACGAAGAGGGAAAACGATGAATAATGAATGAAAAGGAGTCAGGCTATTTGTCAGTCGATGTATGTACTGAAGCCCCCGGCAGCAGGCTATTTCAGTATGATGTCACACCTCCCACCTAAATCAGCAGTATAAGATATATATATATATATATATATATATATATATATATATATATATATATATATATATATAAATATAAGAATAACCTCAGCCCAAGATTGTGTTCTTTTAAGCTCTTTTTGATTATTTGTTCCTTCCTCCTAAAAACAAAAGATTTAAAAATAACAAAAAAAGAGTTTTTGAGAAAAATATTTCTTTTTTTTTTTTTTGCGTGCATAATCTTACATTATTTGTGCTTTCATTGATTTCCTCTAAAACTCTCATTTCTTCTTCCCAATATAATAATGTATTGATTGAATGTTCAACACGTATTAATAACTCCTACAAAAAAACAAAATTCATATTATTATCAATACTGAAAAATCAAATGAAGCTAAATTTTATAAAAATTTAAAAAATAATTATCATTTTGTAAACAGCTTATTCAAAAAAAAGTGTCCATTTTAACAACTTTTTTTTGAAAGTAATTGTAAAAATGGACTTAAAATAAGACTTTCATTTCTAGTTTAAAAATGTTATTTTTTATTCAGTAAAATATAAAAATTTTTTAAAAATACGAATATTGTTTTTGAAAAAAAAATTTTGGTGTAAAAATTTTTTCAACAATAAGTTTACTTTCTTACATCTGCTGATCGAACATACTCTAGAATACTTGATAAATCTTCTATAAGGTTGCTCTCATCGTATATAACCTATGGAATGAATTGTTATACAAAAAATAAAATAAAACAAACAAACAAAAAAATAATAATAATAATACTTGTTATTAAGTGTATATTATTATGTTTTAATTTATTCTCAAGTATCCTTTATTCTTTATTAAACTTTATAAAACAAGTTTTCTATGTATATAACAATTTTGCAAACAACATTTGTATCTCCTATTTGTTACTTAGGATTCTAAGAACTTTTACTAAAGTTAATTTGATAGAGTAACTTATAGACATCCTTAACTGAAACATAAAATGTATGAAAAGTCAAAATGCTTGCCTATATCAAAAACAGTTAAAATGTCTAAATTCAATAACATTAATTGTCGCACCTAAATGATCATCATAACATAACCTAGACAATTTTTTTTTTTAGTTATTTAGGTGCTTCAAGAAGTTCTAATGGTCTTATCACTTCTTCCTTATCAATGTTGCATATATGGCCAGAGATGGCGAACCAAGAACCTAAAATTCTGTAGACAGAACTCTAACCAGAACCAGGAGCCTGACAGAACTCTACAGCATAGATTGATTTGCAATACTCCTCAATTGCTTTCATCATACATGTTTTCAATGAACATATTAAAACATATCAAACAAAGTTTAATGAACAGTTTTATCTAGGTATACTTGATTTTGTTAAACTTAAGTTTTTATATGATAAATTTTTATTTAATTGTTTTAAAAGTATAACAATGGCTTCTTTTAATGAAATGGATGAATTTACAACATCAAAAGACACCTGAACTTCACCGTTGTCAATATTCCAAGTTTCAGTTTTTTTAATGAAAAGACTCTGAATTCGACCTTGGTGTGACAATCACTTCTAATCTCAATTGGAAAACGTATGCAACAAAATGGTTCCAAAGCCAACAGTATCTTGGGATGGATGAAAAGCGCTTTCATGAGTATCTTGGGATGGATGAAAAACTTTTCATGAGTATCTTGGGATGGATGAAAAACACTTTATGAGTAGGGATATAAACCTCTGGAAAAAATTATATATAACCTATGTTAGACCTTATTTAGAGTTTGCTGTGCCTGCATGTAATGCTTACTCAAAAAAAGATATTAAATGTTCAACATATGGCCATAAAAGTCTCTCACTCGCTTGAAAAATTTTCGATTATGAAAAAGGATTGGAAATTCTTAATCTTACTACTTAACAGATAGAAGAGCTCGTGTAGACTGCATTCAACAGTACAAAGTTGAGAATAAATTAGACCATGTTAACTGTTTCTGTTTCGTTGTGGAGCAATAGTTTCTGGTGTGGTATACCACCACACCAGAAACTATTGCTCCACAACGAGGACATCGTAAACAATTACATCGCAAAATTGTAAAAAACTGTGCACATTTACACAACTTTATAACTAACAGAGTTGTCAATCAATGGAATAATTTGGACGATTCAACTGTTTTCAAGAAGAGTGTTAGAAGTTTTAAGAACAGTTTTGACGGAAAGCAAAAATCAAACTAAGATATAACAATTAACAATGACCGGTACTAAGCCCCTGATCTTCTTGTAGCAGAACAGGGGCTTAGTGCCGTTTCAGAACAGTTTCTCTCCTTGCAGTGTGTAATAGTAATAATAATAATAATAATAATATGATATACCAATTAAAAAGATTTTCAGGTTTACATTTATGTTATGTATATTTATTTATGTATATACAAATAATGATTATCTAATTAACATTTTAAAATTGGTTTACAAAATAACAGTTTTTTGATAAGGTCAAAAATTTATTTTTATAAATAAAAATTTTTCCTCCTCCATGTTTTATGGTAGGCAGTTGGTATTTAGGATCATATCTTGCATCTACTAGATGTCAAACATACCTGATTCTATCTAAACCAAACAACATAAACTCGCTTTCATCACTAAAAAGAATTTTGAACTATTGTTGACTACTCCATTTTAGATGCCCTGATGCAAATTTTTTTCCAGGATTTAGGCTTTTGAGGAAAATCAATGGCTTTTTAGCTGGGCATGTTACAAATAAAATAACATGACTTTTTTGTTATTTTGCAGTAGAAATGCTACAAATCATAGAAACGCCTCATTTTTTTGTTTACGTCAAAAGCTGTCAAACAAGGATTATCCTTCATTATCACAAGCTTTTTATCCAGACAATGTGTTGTTTTGTATGGTTTTCCTAATTGCTTTTGATTTTTGTAGATCCAGTAAGTTCATATCTCTTCATAACTTGTTCAACAGTAAATATACCGACTCAATAAAGCTGTGCTGTTTTACAAAACGAATTTCTATTTTGAACTGATATCAAAATCAACTTTTCCACTGAAAATGAGATCAATTTTTAGATCCCTTGATCTCAATCACTTATGAATTAAGTTTTTAAATAACTTTCACAAAGTAATTGTATCATTATCAACAAATTTTTTTAGGAAAATTGTTGTAAAAATATATATGTATATGTATATGTATATGTGTATATATATATATATATATATATATATATATATATATATATATATATATATATATATATATATATATATATAGAAAGTTAACAAATTAAATTAACATGTTTTATAATTTTTTTTTGTATTTTATATACTTAATTCTTAATTACATGTTTCTTAAACCTGAAAATGTAATAAAAATATCCATATAAAGAAAATTTGTAAAAACATTTTCATAACTAAGTAAAGAAATCTCAGCAGTACATACATTGGACTTGTTTTCAAGATCTCCTATGATGTTTCCCAACCTCATTGCAACAACCTACAATAATAAAGAAATTACAAAAAAGGGTCAAAACAAAAAGTAAAATAAAAAACCACTTTTTAATTATTACCTTCAGGTAAGTATTGTTAGCTTCAGATTCACTTATTTTTAAAAAACATTTTTGTAAACCATCTAAAAAAGAAACAAAAATTTCATATTGATGAATGGCAACACTCTTAACAAGTCACTCTTCAACACTCTTCAACAATCTACTTTATGATTTCTCTGATTTTTTTTTTCATTACTTCATTAACAGAAATTATTTTAAAAAAAGAATAAAATGAATAATTCAAATCGACAAAAAACCAACCAACTAATGAATTGTTAACATTTGAACGAAAAAATTTCAATAATGTCTCAATATTTTCAATCAGTGAAGAAATATAAATCTAAAATAAATAAAAAGAGCACACAATATATTTCTGCATGATTTTATGGTTAAAAAAATATTATGCACCAAAAAGTGCACTATAATATATTTCTGTATTTATTTCTGGCCTAAAAGTTTTTTTAAAAAATTACTTGAGCTCGATATAAAAGACCTTCTTTGTTTACTGCCTCAATGTGTGGTTTTTGTGGAGACAATGGCACATGGACTTGTTTTTTATAAGACTTCTTTGTTTTTTCCAATTCCTATATGACATTTATACAAATAATATATTCTTAAAAACACACCAACAAAATAAAACAATTAAACTGAATCATCCTCATCATCATCATCATCACCATCACCATCATCATCATCATCATCATCATCATCATCATCATCATCATCATCATCATCATCATCATCATCATCATCATCATCATCATCATCATCATCATCATCATCATCATCATCAACATCATCATCATCATCATCATCAACATCATCATCATCATCATCATCATTATCATCATCATCATTATCATCATCATCATCATCATCATCATCATCATCATCATCATCATCATCATCATCATCATCGTCATCATCATCCTTCTCTTCATTTTATGCTACTTGTTTTAAATAAGTTTAAAGTTATCATTATCATTATTATTATTAAAACAACTATAATTATTATTTTTATTTAAAACATTTATTGCATTTTAAACAACAATTATTGAATTAATTTTCAATAATTATTGGAGCTAATTATTGTGTTAGTTTTAAATTTTTTTTTGCATAAAAGTATATATGTAAATTAATTGCTTGTTTTTTTTAAAAAAAAAAAACAAATTAAAAAGTGTAGAAAAAATGTTCAATTACATACAAAATATTTAAACTTAGTGTTAAATTATGCAAAGTTGATATATATATAATGCAAAGTTGATATAATTCTTAGTACATACACTTTTATTGCATTGATTTCTATTTTATTTAATAATCTTATATTTTAATACATTTTCCCCAGAAAAATTAAAGCAATTAACTTTTTTGCTTACATAAAATTTTATATTCAAAATTTTTTCTAGGTTTTAATAAAAAACAAAATTTTCAATAAGTAAAGATGAAATTTTGGTTTGATTAGGGTTAAAGCATATGGCTAATTTTGGTATTGGGACAAATTCAGTCTTGATTTATGATTATTATTATAACTGGGTTTAAATTTGGGTTATATCACGAATGAATTTAAACTATTAATTATAAAATTACGTCACAAAAAAACTTTAAAACTTACTTTATTAGTAGCAGTAAGAAATTTACGTACAAAAGAATCACTTCTTAGCATCTAAATTTAAAAGTCAAATCTGATCATTCTTTATAAGTCATTATCAGCAGCGCCCAGTTCAAATTATTTATATAAAACATAAATTATACTAAAAAACTTTATTTTTATAGAAAAGATGGTAAACAAAGTAAGGGTGGCTGTGTCTGTATTTGTTACCAACAATTTAAAGTCATATGAAATAATTAATGAAAATTTAAATGCAAAAGATGATATGAAGCAATATGGTGTGTAATAGAATGTGGTATTGAACTCATATTATGTGGCTATATTTACCGTACTGCAGATAGTAGTTTGTTTTATTGTGAAAATATGGTCAAATCATTAAATTATGCATCAAATTTAGTAATTGCTAGAAATACAGTGGTTTTCTGATGGTGATTTTAATTATCATATGATAAAGTGGAATGAAGATAATATAGTTACAATAGAACAAAAAATATGCTCAGTTATTTATGGATTATTTAAACAAAAATTACGTATTCTAAAATGCAATTTTACCAAATTTTCAAAAAAATGTCAGTGAAACAACAAATATTCTAAACTTAGTATTAACTAAACCTTGTAATAGAATTAATGTTAGAAAATACATCACCCCTTGGTAATTTGGAACATGGCTATCGTGTATTGAATTTTAAAAGTTTAATGGATAAAGTTACCAATAATAAAGACTATCAAACAAAATGTTCAACAAAGGTAAATATAAAGAATTAAATAAATACTTTAATAATTACAATATGGAAAAAGAGTTTAAAACCTTAAGCATTGATGAAAGCTATTTAAGATGGTTAACAATATATAAAAAAGTTTGCAAAATGTTTATCCATCAAATTCAACAAAACAACCAAAACATTAAAAAGACAAAATCATTATGGTTGACTAAAGACCTAAAATTAAAGTTAAAAGTTAAAAGGAAAATATGGTACAAAGTCAAAGCTGCAGGTTTTAAAAATATAGACAATGTTGAAAACTAAAACAATCTTAATAAAATATTAAAAAAAAAAAGAAAGCAATTAAGGAGTATGAACGTAATTTAGTAAAACAATCAAATCAAAATCAAATACTAAATGTATATACTCTAATACAAACAGTTAAACCAAGATAAAAAACACTATTAGACCCATAAGAGATACAAATGGGGATGTTACAACAGATGGTATGACACTATGCAATACATTAAACACATTTTTCAGTTCAGTATTCATAATCGTAAAAAGCAATAATAATCCATTATTTGAAGAAAAAAAAATCCTTTCTATGTTGTCCATACCCAAATTCGAGAAATTAATCATTGAAACAAAACTAAAAAAATAAACACAAATAAATCAACAGGTGTTTATAAAGTACATCCACAAGTATTGAAGGAATGCTCACAAAATTTATGTAAACCATTAGAGTTAATATTTAATCAATCATTTGCAAGTGCTCTACCAAACTTATGGTAAAATGCAATAACCATTGCATAGAAAAGGTGACACCATTGCATAGAAAAGGTGAAAGATTTGAATGAGATTACTATAGACTAATTTCATTAACATCAATTGTATGCAAAGTCATGGAAAGTATTATCAGAGATGAAATAATGAAATATCTTAACTATAATAATTTAATCTCAGTGCACTAACATGGTTTTGTGAGTAAAAAAAATTGTTGTACAAATTTACTAGAAACATTAGATATTGACAGTAAAGCATTTGACAATAATATTCCAGTTGACATATATCTAGACTTTGCTAAGACATTCAATACTGTGCCACATGAAAGATTGTGTGTAAAATTTGCAAAGATTGTGTGTAAAATTTCTCCTAATACAACGAGTTGTACTTGGAGAAAATATTTATGAATGAAAAAATGTTTTAAGTGGTGTTCCTCAGGGATCTGTACTTGGACCATTATTAATTATTTATACATAGACCATTATTTTTATTTATACATTAACAATATAATGTTAAAATTAAAAAATGAATGTAAACTATATGCAGATGATACAAAATTAATATCTATACTAGATCATAACAGCAGTACAGAAAATTTACAAGATCTGAATGAAATGATTCAATGGCTAAAATTAGAAATTGTATAACTTTTTAACGGAATGATAAATTCTAATAATTTAAAAAGTATAATAAATATCTAAATAATAAAATTTTAAAAAATTTTAAGTTTTTCATGCCATGACGACGAACGGTGTTTACTCTTGTAAATGTTGTGGTAGCTAGCCGATGTACACGTTCTATGTTGATTTTCTTAATTGACAACTTGATCTGCTTTTTAAGTTTATCTAGATTTTCAGCTTGCCAGTTTTTATTATACACTAATCTCTTAAGTTCAGACCAAAAATCTTCAATTGGACATAATTCTGGCACATTAGCAGGGTTATAGTCTTTTGGTACAAATTCAATATTTTTAGCTTTTAGATAACTTGCACTTTACGCAAATAATTTGACAAAGCTAGATCAAGCCAAAAGACAATATTGTCATTTTTATGATGTTTTTAAATGAATTTCTCTAATCTAACAAGACATTTTGAAATATACACATCTTCATTGACTGCTTAGCCTGACGGAGCTATGTACTGCTTAGAGATTCCTTTTGTCAAGAATCCAAACAAGTAATTTTAGCTCAGATTTATCTTTTCTTTTGTAACTTTTGATGCTGTATTTATGTCAGAAGAATAGAATCCAGCATTTCCGAAATATTGGTGTTGCTCACACGATTCATTGTCAATAATAACTACTAATAATAAACACGATTCATTGTCAATAATAACTACTTTTTTCCTAAAAATCGAAACCAATCTACAGCACTTTGAACGAACAGTTGCTTTTTGAGTCAATGCTCTTTTAGGTGTTTTAGTTTTTTTAAGATAACGAATACCTTTTTTTTTGTGAATACTTTTGCATATGTACGATTGTGATACATGGAATCGTTTTGCAAGACACGCTGTGAAATTTCATCCTTTTGATCAATCGATTTTATAAGACGCATTATCTCTTTTTTGTTTTGCGATCACTTCCAACTTTTCTTTCTGGTCCTACATTATACTCCTTTCTTTGAAGTATATTATAAATAGTAAATTTTGGTATGTTCTCTATTCGAAAATGATTTAAAATAAAGATACGAAAGTGCGTACACTCGTTTTCTAGGGAGTCTTTTGTTACAAGTTTTTTTTTTATTTTCAATTATTACTAAATAAATTTTTTTTAATAATTCATTTAAATAATTAAATTTATAACAAAATAGAAGTGATTGTAAGTATATTAAATAATTCCTTCATATTTTAATATTTACTCAAACTTTGTCCAGATTTTTAACCTGCATAGTTGCACTAACATCACTTGTAAGTGCAACTATACAGGTTTATGAATAACTTAGATGTAATTAATTGGTACAATCCTCCTATATTTATAAAAAAATTCAATTACAAGAGGGCACAATAAAAGACTAAGTAGACAACAAAACCAAAAAACAGTAATCATAATTTTTTTATATATAAAATAGTGGACAAATGGAACCGTTTACCACAAAATGTTGTGGATGCGAAAAATTCAAATACATTTAAAACCCTTTATGACTATTATATGAAAAACTGTGAAAAGCTGTGACAGTCTGACACCTACTGTTGTTAAACTCTATACACTGTAATGTGTATCATTACAGTGTATAGAGCCTTGTTTGTTTATTTTATTTATTTATTGTAACTTAAAGTAAATAAATAACCAAATATATTATATATATATATATATATATATATATATATATATATATATATATATATATATATATATATATATATATATATTTGGTTATATCAAATATATTATAAATATATTATACATATATTTAAGTTCTTTGATTTTTAGGCATATTTTGATACTGATTAAAAACACATAAATACTATTAAAAATGGCTTTATAATAAAGAACTATCTTCAAACCAATTTTTTATATTAATTTAAAAAGGGAAAACTTTATTTTAATATTTTCTTATTTTTATGCAACAAATATTCTCACTTTATGAGCACATATTCTGCTAAGAAACCTTTGTAATTCTCTCACATTTCCTAAAAAAAAACAACACTAAAACAAAAATTTGAAAAACAAAAAAACAAAACAATATTCGAAAATGATTATTACCATTCAAATCTTCAGTAAAAATAATTGGTGGTATGATACGCCATGGATAAAGTTCCTAAATCATTACAAAATAACTTTTTACTTTTAATAAATAACTGTTAACTAGATATTTGTTTTAAACAACTGTAATTATCAGCACACAAATATTTTTAAAATTGTTTCGGTTTATCTTGTGCTTTTAAATGAACTAGAGAGTACACTCTTTTTCCTAACTGATGACTTCATCATTTTACTGGTTAAATAGAAAGTAGATTCAAACAATATACTGATGGCTACATCATGTTAGCAACATTTCTTGATCCAATAAATCAAAATATTGATCTTAACGAAAAAAAACTTTGTTTTTGGTGCTTCATCTGATAGGAAAATGTGGGATAATGATTATGGAATAATGGAAATTAAGTGCAGTGAAAAATACAGTAATCTTGACCCAAAAGATATAAAAAATAAACAAGGAATACTTATAGGACCGGATTTAAATGTAACTTAGATTTAGAAATAAAACATGGTCTGATTTTTTATTTTACACTTTAAAAGGAATAACCATCAATTGTATTAAATATGACAAAGTACTTTCGGTGAAACTAAGGAAAAGAGTATTGAACTTTAATTTCAATTAAAGTTCAATACTCTTTTCCTTAATACTTTAATTTGAAAACAAATATTTTATTGATATAAAATTGAAATTTTGATGAGATTAAACTCAATCTGTTGTACAGTATTATGTCTGAACAAAGTTTTATAATGCATGCATGTATGTATGTATGCAAGTATGTATGCATGCATGCATGCATGCATGCATGTATGCATACATACTTACATACATACAAATATAATATATAGGTAAACAAAATCTTTAGTGGCAGATCAAAATTGAATGTTAAAGATAAATAAAAAGTTTCAAATGCAAATGTCATTTCCAATCCAAATAAAACAGAAATTTTGTTGATCTAGTTTCTACTGTTGGTCATATTCCAGCTATCTATAAGTCAATGCTGAGACAGCTGTCAAACTGAGTTGGTACATCATTTCTCATAGAGCCAATAAAAAAATAACTTGCCCTGTAAACCAACCATAGCGTTTTAATAAGCACCAATCATCAAGTAAGTTTCAAAAAAATCAAACTTTTTTCAAAAAATAAAACAATTCAATTGGATTTAAATTCTCATAAATTAGCCATTTGAGATAAATTAAATATGGTTCAGGAAAAAAGAAAACATAAAAAAAAAATTGTATCATAAAGAAAACATTATGTTGAAAGTTAAGATAAAAAAAAAACAATAAAAAATCAAAAAAACACTAATAAGAGATTGAAAAATTTATAAAATCAATTTTTATTCTTTAAGTGACACACTGGCTAAATCAATCATTTTAACTTTTAATTCTTTAGATAATTAGATATATGCGCCATCAATCATATTCTTAGGTAGCACATATTCTTAGGTAGCACATATTCTTAGGTAGCACATATTTTAGTATCAAATTAGTTTCAGTAAACTTTAATAAAAAAAATTTTATGATAAAAAAAATAAGTAAAAAATAAATATTTAAATATTCATTATAACTTAAAAACAAAGTAAAAACCTCGAGAGCTTTGCGAAACCATACAAACTCTTCACTAGATCGTTCAACAGCATAAACATCATTTTTAAACTTTGGGAGCGTAGCCTTTATATAAAGAAGGTTTAATTACTTGTGCATTTGTTTCAATATAAAAATTGGTATATATAAAAACTTATGTTACTCGAAAAAACTTTATCAAAAAATCAGATAATAAAAAACCTTAATGAAATTTTTAGAAAATTTATATTACAGCTGATTAAAAAACAAAAAAAGTTGAAATTTTTTTTTGATAATTTAAACAACTTTTAAATAAATTAGTAATATGTTACTACTTTGTAGGAATATTTATATTACTACAAAGAATTGTTTAAAACCTTCAGAAAAGTTCTTTTTCTAAACAAAAAAAAGTAAGAAACTTTTTAAATAAAGATGTATATAAACTATATCTGTGTCAATGTATGTACACTCCACTATGGCTAAGATTATGTTACTCAATGTATGTACACAAAGAAGTCTTTTTTAATTTCAAAAACAGAGATTTTAACAAACTTCTAAATTTGCACAAAAAAATCTTAAAATGTCTGGGATGATCTGCCTTTTTATAAATTGACTAAATATGACTAAATGTGGTGAAGAATATGACATAGAATTATGTTCAATATTTATTATAATGAATTATAATAAAACTAGTAGTTAAAAACCCATAAAAGTGCTTAAAGAGAGTTTCATTAGAGATTTAGAAAGACTTGGGAGATTATTGGGATTATTTGAGAAATTGTTTTTTTTATATATCCAAGTAATGTGTCAAAATAATTGCATAGTTGCATTTGAAACAAATATACAGGCATGCAAAAATAAAAATTCAGTTATTAAATGCCACCTGTAAAGAGACATTTCCTTTCAATAACTGTTATTATAACACTAATGAACAACCTGTGAGATATCTTATAGTTGAATCAGATGGAAAAACGCTTTCAAATAATAAATGGTCTACTAAATTAGGAAAACTGCTGGATACGGTTAGCAATATGATCACAAACAAAAAAAAAAAAAAGTAAAAAAACAATGGGTTTACTTACAGTTTTGAACTTAATATGAGTATTTTATTTTAAAACATACAACAAACGCATATAAACATAAATACATATTATAACTGACATAGTAAGTGATGATGAGTTAAATGAGTTAAATCAACATGCTTATTTTCCCTTTAATACATTTATCTTTAATTTTGTAATAAATATTGAACTCATAATACCTTGTTAAAAGTTTCAAAACAATTTACAATTCTGATTTGCTTTTCATTTTGTGTTTTAAAAGTAACTTTTAACTGCATCAAAACATTCAGTTTACTCCTTTTGAAATTTAATGTCAGTGCACGAAAAAGCGCTAATAGGATGGTCATTTTTAAGTTAGCCTGCATGATTCAAAAAAAAGTTTTTTTTCTAGTATTTATATAAAAATAAAAATAGAGAAAAGAATGCTTTGAATAAATACTAGATGAATTTAATTTTAAAATAAACTAAACAAAAGCTACTTTTTGCTTACAGGCTGAGTAATAAAATATGTTGAGTGTGATACTATTAGGGATGGGGAGCTCTTGCATACAAATCAAGCACTCTACTTCTACACCACTTCAGCATCAAGTTATACTTGATGGACAACACCTTTCTTTATTTATAATAACTATTTATAATAACTGTTTATTAAATACATTAATGATTTTTCTGATCTAATATCTAAAGCTCCTTTGTATGCCGATAACACAACCACATATTTCTATTTTTATACATTATAAGTTACTATTCATTGTATTATAAACATAATAAACTATTAACACACAAAATTTGATGAATAAAAAAGTTTTAAAGTGGTTTACTTATAAAACTACATTTTTTATATCCCAAAATTTTTGAATTACTTCAGTGCCAACAATCACATCTAAAGCAACATCATTTTTATAATCATTATTTTTTAATTGATTTGTGTAACCTATGGATTCTATAACTCTTTTGACTTCATATAACTGATTGACCTAATGATTCTCAATAATATAGTAAAACTGATTACCTTAGAAATAACTCTGTAAAAAAAACCATCTGAAGAATCAGAAGTTGTCACTGTTGATATTAAAATATCAGGCATTTTTTGTCTAAAAAACAAAATAAATATATAAAATAAAAAAAGTATTAAAAATTTGAAAAAATACAAATTTTAACATCAAAAAAACTTATAAAAAGCAATAAAAAAACAACAACTCAAAATCATACAAATTTGGATCACTTGTTTTCATTTTTGGACCAATAGAACATTTATGTGAATGTGTTTCCAAATCACTAATACTGTAAGAAAACATAACAATATCAACACTGCAAACAAAAATCAAATCATTTATACTATAAATATATTAAAAAAAAGAGCAAAACATTAACACTGTAAAAAGAACATAGAATCATAAACTTTTTTTTAAGTATTTAAAACAATCATTGCACAGGTAACAGCAGGTAAAGTCAACACAAACAATCCTTGCATAGGTAAAGTATTTAAAACAATCGTTGCATAGGTAAAATCAACACAAAAAATCGTTGCATAGGTGAAGTATTTAAAACAATCATTGCATAGGTAAAGCCTCAACACAGAAAAAAAAAAAAAAAAAAAAAAGCCATTAACACTTCTAGAAAATAAAAATCACTGAAACTGGAAAACATCAAATTACTAACGCTTTATAAGAATCATCACTACTACATAAGAACAGCAAATCATCAATGCTGTATAAAAACATCAACACAGTAAGAGAGAGAGAAAAAAAAAGGAATCGTAAAAGAACTTCTGTAAAAAAATCATCAAATAAAATTGATGCCAGTAACTAGTATAAAAAAGTACTCATTTTTTTATCAATAGTTTAAACTATTACAAAGGTAAAAACTGAAAATCAATTTTACTATTTACAATCCTTAAACCATTTGACTAGTAAAAAAACTATAAAAATATTATAAAAATACCATATTCTTTGTAGACAAAGCGTGCATGATAACATAAGACTAGCTATAGGTGATGTAGATGTCTAAAAAAATAAAAACAAAACTTTTCTAAAATTATCTTTCAATCTAAGTAATCATTAAGAGTTAGTATGAACAAAAATAACAATAAGACATTTGTAAAAACGACTTAAATAATTTAAATACATTTAGTTGTTCTTCTAATATTTTCCTATTGATTTCCATTTTTACCTAAAAAACAATAGTAAAAACCATTTACATGATTAACTACATAAAAATATGATGATTAAAAAGTAAAATAAAAATATTTTTTGTATAAAAAATGTTTAACTAACAAGATCATCTGATATTGCAACATCATTTTGGCCAACTGGATTCTAACAAAATAAAGTATTTTGATTCTATTTTAATATTGAAAATATTTTAAATAATGATAAAACGGTACAAAAATTAATAAAAAACAACACAAAACTTGAAAAAAAAAATTTATATATATACTAAAAGTGAAAAAAATAAAAAATAAAGATAATGTCAAATAAATATAGAATGCCGTATTTAAAGATGAAAATAAACTTAGAACTTAGTACCTTACTTGATTTTCAAAATTGTGAAGTTGTGCTTCAAGTTTCTTTAGTTTTTCATACAACTCTTCTGACAGCTTACGCTCCTGTACAAAATAAATGCATCATTTTATAATTGTATTTTTTATAAAAACTTTAAAAAAAAAATAATATAGCTTAAAAAACAATTACAAAAATAATAGTTTTATTTTATAGCATAAAAATAATAGTTTTATGCAATAAAATTTTAAACGATAGTCTTATAAAACCCTTAGTCTTAACTATTGCCAGTTTTACTTAGAGTATATAATTTTTTAAACTCAAAACAACAAGCGGCTGGCTTCTTGAAGTGTAAAGCATTTTTTATTACAGATATAGGTGTTCTAACATCACCTATATCTGTAATAAAATTATATTTACTAAATTATTTTATAAATCAAAGGATTTATAAAAGAATTTAGTAAATATAAATTAAGATTAAATAATTTAGTAAATTAAAATTTAATTCTTAGTTTAAATAATATCTTAATGATTATATTTATTGGTAATTGAACCTTATTTTTTATGATTTACACCTCATTTCATGCAGTTTATATACAATGTGATCTGTTTAACGATGTACGAGGTGTGTTCAAAAAGTAAGGTGACTTTGTATTTTTAAGAAAAAATATTTATTTATTTATCAATATTTATTTTGTCCCCTTCAAAGTAATTCCCCTCAGATACAATACACTTATGTCAATGGTTTTTCCAATCCTCAAAGCACTTCTCATCAGCACTTTTTGGTAAAGCCTTGAGCTCTTCCAGCGATGCAGTCTTTATCTCTTCAATCGTTGCAAATCTCTGTCCTTTCATAGGTCTCTTTAGGGTTTGGGAACAAGAAAAAGTTACATGGGGCCAAATCCGGTGAATATGGTGGCTGAGGCATGATTGTGGTGTTGTTTTTGGCCAAATAATCTCTCACAAGCAAAGATGAGTGAGCAGGGGCATTATTGTGATGCAAAAGCCATGAATTGTTTTTCCACATTTGGTCAAAATTGAGCAATTTCAGAACAAACTTTGCTGACACACGTCTCATGCCCAAAACATTAGAAAAAATTTCATGGTACGAGCCAAGCAATATATCAACATTATCAGTAACTTCTCTGATAGTGTTTCGACGATTTTCCAAAACAATTTTCTTCACTGCTTGAACATTTTCATCAGTTGTTGACGTGGTTGGGCATCTAGAGCGAGGCTCATCATTGACATCTTCCCGGCCATCTTGAAAAAGTTTGTACTACTTATAAACATTTTTTTTACTCAGAACAGTTTCACCGTATGCCAATGTCAACATTTCAAGTGTTTTGGAGCATTTTATTTTATTTTTTATACAAAATATGATGCAAATCCTTTGATCCATATTTTTCAATAGCAAAAAATCGCCGAGCACTTATAACTTTTACGCCTCTCAGAACCAAACAAAAAATGATATACACTTGAAACTTGGTACAGATGTTCGGGAAGAGTGTACCAACATGACAAAACAAAAAAATTGATAATCGAAAGTACGTTGCCCACAAAATTTGAAAAGTCACCTTAATTTTTGAACACACCTCGTATAACACATTTAATTAGTTTGGTTAAAGTAAGATTTTTATAAATTATTTGTACAGTTTTGCACTATATAAAAAAAACTTTTTACATAGTACTGATACTATGTATAAGCTAGCTACAGAGCTCAGTTTGAAGTTTTGGCTTTGGTTTTATTACCTAAATCCTTGGTCATGACCTAGACCCTCATACAAAAGTCCTAGACTTTGGTCTAGACAACTATACCTAAGTTCTAGGCATTGGTCTAGACAACAATACCAAAGTTCTAGACCTTGGTCTAGACAATGATACTAAATAACACAATTCTTTAAAAAATGAATTAAGTTTTATTAACCCATTGGTGTTAATCCAATAAAGTTCTAGCTAAAAATTAAACCTATAAAACCCAAAACATTAAGAAAATGATAAACCCATAAAATAAATAATAATTGTATACTAATATTAGTGGTTAAATTAAACCAGGTAATGTTAGTGATTAATTTAAACCAGCTAATGTTAGTGGTTAAGATAAACTAAATAATATTAGTGGTTAAGATAAACCAGCTAATGTTAGTGGTTAAGATAAACCAGCTAATGTTAGTGGTTAAGATAAACCAGCTAATGTTAGTAGTTAAGATAAACCAGCTAATGTTAATGGTTAAATTAAACCAGCTAGCTAATATTAAAGTCAAAACCAAATGTCATTATTTTACAAAAATCTGACATTTTACAGGTGCCTTTCTAAAAGTAATAATGACTTTTTAAAAAAGCACGCCATATTAAGTACCACTACAACAAAAAAAAATAACACTGATACTACTTAAAAAACTGCAATATCAATAATTCATATTGTTAATTATAGCCAAATTAAACATATATATATATATATATATATATATATACACATATATATATATATACATATATATATATATATATATATATATATATATATATATATATATATATATATATATATATATATATATATATATATATATATATATATATATATATATATATATATATATATAT